ATTATCTGAAAAATTGGAAGAAAAATATTCATAAGTTTACTAGGAAAGTCATCTTTATAAATAGATATTTGGCAACGCCTGAAGAATCATACGGCGTTTTTCCTTAGCACGGCGGTATAGAGTATAGAACTATAGACCGATGTTGAAGTTTCGAATTCGTCGCGCTTACCGACGGAAAGATGTAGCCGAGGAAAGCGATCATTGGACGCCATCTAATGGCGTTGCCTTGAACTCAAGCTTCGCCCTTTAGTCAGTAGAGCGCTGCATGAGTAACAAAAAGGGAAACAACAATGGATCACTAGACAAGGTACGAATTTAAGCATTCCGGTACATGTTTCTTAACCAAAATTTCACGTAGAACACGATTCGCGCAACGAAAATTACTGAAACCAACTCCTAACGAAGATATTAACCTTTTCATTTCACATTGGTTACGAGGAATTTGAACTGCCCGCTCACAAGAAACTCAAAGCTCTACGTGAGTCAAATCGCGCACGACAACGGTCTCAGCAAGTTTCTTAATCGAGCAATATTCATTTCCCACCATGTGTTGTTCGAACTATAGGCAATTTGCTATAGCTGAGCCAAAGCGTCAAGATTGAGGTTGCCAGATTTTTACATCGCGCAGAGACTGTCATGATAACGTTTAGCGCGCGATGTGAATCGTGTAGAGCATTGAGTTTTCATGAGCGGGTGGTTTGAATTCACGCATCAAGAATCATTAAATATCGTTGTGAGGAGTTGATTTCGATAATTTTCATTGTGCGCATCGTGCTCTACGTGAAATTTTGGTCACGGATCATATATCAGAGTGCTGAAATTCGTACCTTGTCTAGTGGTCCATTATTTTATTATACGGGCCGCTTTCCGCAGAATAATAAATACCCCGTGGTTAGTTCGATCTTCCATCGTTCCTCTTCCATTCCTCGTCACCGAGGTTATCAAAATTGAACATATTTCTGCCAAACGGAACTGTGTGCATTAAGATATGAGCCCTGAGACCCATACGAATATATGCATAACAGGGCTTACGTCGTGATGAATTTAGTTCCGTTTGACAGAAATACGTCCGATTATGCACAAATAATATATTAACAACCTGAACTTTCATCCAAATCATCTTGCAGTTAATTTCTTCGACCACTCAACTTGCACTCCTAGTCTCACAAGACATCACGTGCTGGATTTTCAGTCGTTCTCAATAATATGCCACGGTTATAGAAGCATTTAGAAGGATGAATCGGACGTATTTCTATCAGACAGAACTATGTGCATTAAGACATGAGCCCTGATACCCATAAGGACATATGCATAACAGGGCTCATGTCTCATTGCACATAGTTCCGTTTGGCAGAAATACGTCCAATCGATAGTAGGGTGTCCCAAAAAAATTCGACCCTCGAAAAGTTACGTTTTCTGGTTAAAAAAAGTGTTCCATTTGGTTGAGAAAGTCTTTTGGCCAAGTTTTAGATTTTTAGGTGAAGTTTTAGTGCTGCTGCATCGCACATTTGTGAAATTAGCTATCCCGATAATTGAGATTTTCGACGATTTGATGATTTATTCTAGGGATGAAGTAGTCACGCTAGAGCCCCGAAAATTTGAGATAGTAGACTCCTAACACACTACTTTGGATGTAAATGAAACATTTTTCCGTACAAGAAACGCAAGTATTTTTTAAAAATTTGGCCGAAAACGCTGTTTAGGCGCAAACGGAAGACATTTCAATGAGTTGACTAACTATTTAAAGTTTCCGAATTTTTAAAAAGTACTTGCGCGTCTTGTACGGCAAAATGTTTGATTCATATCCAAAGTAGTGTGTTAGGAGTCTACTATCTCAAATTTTCGGTGCTCTAGCGTGACTACTTCGTCCCTAAAAAAATCATCAAATCGGCAAAAATCTCAATTATCGGGATAGCTAATTTCACAAATGTGCGATGCGGCAGCTCTAAGACTGCACCTAAAAATCTAAAACTTAACCAAAAGTCTCTCGCAACCAAATGGAGCACTTTTTTAAACCAGAAAACGTAACTTTTCGAGGGTCGAATTTTTTTGGGACACCCTACTATCGATTGGACGTATTTCTGCCAAACGGAACTATGTGCACTGAGACATGAGCCCTGTTATGCATATGTCCTTATGGGTATCAGGGCTCATGTCTTAATGCACATAGTTCTGTCTGATAGAAATACGTCCGATTCATCCTTCTAAATGCTTCTATAACCGTGGCATATTATTGAGAACGACTGAAAATCCAGCACGTGGTGTCTTGTGAGACTATGAGTGCAAGTTGAGTTGTCGAAGAAATTAACTGCAAGATGATTTGGAACACTTTTTTAAACCAGAAAACGTAAATTTTCGAGGGTCGACTTTTTGGGACACCCTAATCGATGGCCAATATGAGAAACCATGTATCTCCATCGCAATGTTGCAAAATTTCCGATAGTATTCTGGTTTTCAAAAAGTAATAGTCAACTTCACGGCTTCGAGCTCCTAGAGAATATTCCACAAACAGAGAGGAATTATCAAGGTGGTTTATTTTAATTAATTACACTGACTCGTTTTCTGAAGAGAAAATAAAAATGACAGGAAGTCTGTGACGTCGGAAACGGAGATACGTGATTTCGCACTTAGGCCATTAAAATGCTGGCTGATTTTCAGGAGCAAAACATGTTGTGGGTGAAAAATGTAAATCTTTAGATTGGAGTTGCGGCGTTCCTGCTGCGGACGGGTGCATGAGGGCCTCCTTTCGGTGATTTGACAAGCTTAAGTGACATGAGCCTGACGAAACACCTTCAGGAGGCCCTTGAGGTCCTTATGCTCCGTCCACAACAAAGAACCCCAATCTAAATATTCCAATTTTTTACCCGCAAAATGTTTTGCTTCCGAAAATCAACCGGCACCCAGTGGATCGAGTCAAAATAGGAGAGGTCGGACAAAATTAGGAAACCTTAAACGCTTATAACTCCGTTTATGCAGATCTGTGAGGTACTAACAGTGGTTTTATTGGTTTCTTCATGAAAAATTCTTCTACATGCTCCCCTCGAAGTTTAAAATGTGACGAAATATACATCAAAATTTTCAGTTTTAGTCAAAAATTTCATGCCCGGCCTCTCAAATTGACTCGATCCACTGTGCGGCATCACAATGGCCAAAGTGTGATACCACGTATCTCCGTTTGCGATTTTTGACCTGATCGATGCAATAAATCGCAAGCCATTTTGACCATGCACTGGTAAAAAAGTGGCTTGGATCTGGAGTCGAGACTCTTAAAAACATTGACAAGAAAAATACTCTTGATTCAAATGGAAATCCGCTTAAATCAAGAGGCTTGGCTCTTCGATTCAAGGAAAAATCCGATTGAATCAAGAGTATTTGGACTGAGTTAAGCAGAAAGGAACCAACCCACATTTTGGAAAAAATTGAGTTATGAGTGGTTTTGAACTCAACCACTGCTCTACTATCTATCGCCAAAAAATTCAAAGTTTTTGTTGGAGCAAATTTTGCAGAAACAGAATTTGAAGTTTATCTTTTCCATTGAGTCTTATGCAGGAGCCAAACTTTAAACCTCTTTTTCTCGGTTCGATGCCGATGTGGCTTGGTTCCTTTCTGTTTAACTCCGTCCATTTTTTCTTGTCAATGTTTTTAAGAGTCTGAACTCTTGATCCAAGCTACTTTTTTACCAGTATGCGTCACTTGAGCTTGACGAATCGCCTTAAAGGAAGTGGGAGCTCGGGGTGGGTCGGCGGGCTGCCCAGCGGGGTGGAGGCCGCGCGGGAGAGAAGGCCAGATTGAAACAGGATGTCACGTCCTGTGCCCAGCGCTCGCGGGGACCGGCGCAGCCGCAGGGACGGGGCCGCAGGGACGGGGCAGAACTCGACAGAACAAAACGGGGGCTCAATCATAAATGCACTTAATTACTCCTCGCATTATTCCCCACTCCGGCTTGATGAGCCAGTTCCATCTCCCGCCGGCAGACCCGGCTTCCGCAACCGCGTACCCACGCGAACACCTCCGTCGCCGTCGCCACCAGTCATCCCAAGAGAGAAAAAAAACCAAGAAAAACTTGGTGCTCAAAGACCCAAAATGGAAATGTTGCATGGGTGAGGAATTTGCGATTTGACTGTTGATTCTTGTGTAAAAGTTCGCGAGAGACACGATGGTGTCACTGGTTTTCTCTGAAATCAACTCCCAAGCTCAAAGAAATGCTCTCAAGTTGAGGCCAAAATTGAGGGGATATCCCGCGCTATCCTGAGAGTCCACGTCTACATCAAGACAAACTCCCCATGCGAAGATAGGGAGCAAAGACATTAGCAGGGTTGCCGTGTTTTTAGTTTTGAAGTCCCCAAAGAAAGTGGCAATCCTGCTAATGTATTTGCTCCCTATCTTTGCAAGGAGAGTTTGTCTTGATGTAGAGGTGGACTCTCAGGATAGCGTGGGAGATTCTCTCCATTTCGATCTCAACTCGAGAGCTTTTTTTGAGCTTGGGAGTTGATTTCAGGGAAAACCAGCGGTACCATCGTGTTTCTCGCTAACTTTTGCATAAGAATCAACAGTCAACTCCCAAATTCCTCACACTTGCAACATCTCCATTTCGATTCAAATTCCATTATTTCCAAATACAAAGTTCCCCGTCGAATTTCCGGGAACAACGTAGTCGCGTGGTCCGTCACGTGACCTACAAACACCTCCACGGGCTCGACATGCCGGCCATTCGGGCCCACCGCGGCGCCTCGGCTCGGGGGAGGGGGGAGGGGGGGGGTCGTGGGGCACGGGCGCTGGATCTCCGGGAAAACCCCCCGGACTTTCCCACGGGGCCGGATGCCCCCAGGCACGATCTGGCAACATCGTTAACGCGTGAGGTTGCCAGGTCGTGCGATAAAATGAGTATACTTTACATGAGGGTAAAAGGTGAAAACTGCTGATTTCTCAGCACAATCTGGCAACGATGACCGCGCGCGCCGGCGATCAAAATAGATAGACATTTCGGACGGCAGTCGAGAGCGGGCTTTCGCGTCGAGTGTCCGAGTAAAAGTGTCGCCCGTCGAAAAGTTCGCCCGTTGAAATGGGGGCAGGAGAGGAGCTTTCAACATTGGTCTCCGTGGAGTTCGAGGTGTTCGGCCACGTACAAGGTAGGCCACCTGCTTTACACTCGGGCGCTGCGGATGGCCTCCGGGAGCCGCAACCGGAAGTGCCTCCCCTTCCCCGCCTCCGGGAATACGGATGTTCGTGCCCCCCCCCCCCCCCCCCCCCCCACTCCCTCCACTTAATGGAGACAATTTATTTGTCTCCAAACGGCATCTCTAAACGGTCGGTGGAATTTCTCGGTTTCAAATCGCTCTCGCGTTATGGTTTGGAGACATGCGACATGTATATTTGTTATGTTTCGAATGGAATAAGATAAAATAATGCGATGCAATGTCGTTTAAAAGCGTAATTGGATTATAAAATGGAATTGATAAATAATTATTTTAGCTGTTTGTATAATTTAAAGATAGAAAATTCTTTGACCAGATTATCACCATCGTAATTGCCATGCACTGGAAAAAAACACATTGGATCTAGAGTCCAGACCCTTAAAAACATTGACAAGAAAAAATACTCTTGATTCAATCAGATTTAAGCTTAAATCAAGAATCAAATCTCTTAATTTGACCGGATTTCCTTTTGATTTAAGCTTAAATCTGATTGAATCGAGCGTCCTTTTTCTTGTCAATGTGTTTAAGAGTCTGGACTCTAGATCCAATGTGTTTTTTTTTTCCCAGTGAGAGCACTCTTCCTTGCTCTTCACGAAATTACTTTTTACGTCTATTTCTCTCAAATTTTATCCAGGAAACTCCCTTTTTATTGCAATCTTTAAACTCCTCCATTGCTCTAAACCGACGAATATTAATAAAGTTATGGTTAGGTACTTAATTTAATAGAATGATTAATCATTCAGGCTAAAATGAAATGAAATATATTTGAAAAGCTTTTTATTGCTTAATCTAGGAATTGGGCCGAACAAACGCAAAACTTTGTGTTTGTAAACAAATATATCCTTTCAAAATATATAGTTCGAATTATTCTACGAAATCGTGAAGAAAAAACGCAAAATTGAAAAAAATCTCGGAACTTGTTTAGTTGAAATTATTTCCTTCAAATACACGTTCAATATCCCTGGGAGCAATCTTAAAATCTCTCAACAGTCTTGAACTCTAAGAGGCACATGCTAAAGGTACACATTCTAAAAATTTCTAAAAGAAAGTATTTGCCGATAAAACTTGTGATATCAAAATGGAAAGGGCTAAAGTTCCGGACTTTTCCACCTGTCTCCGACTTAAGCAGCACACGACTTTTGGAAACATAATTTCCTGTCGAAACAACAGTCGTTAATACAAAGAAGTGACAAATGGTCAGCATGGAAATTTTTTTTAGCATAGTCTGTGGCATTGATTCGAAAAAAAAAAAAAAAAAACTTTTTGAAAACCATTAACATACTTTAAGAAAGAAATGACACAACATAAACAGAGAAACACGCAACTTGGAAAATTATTTCACGTAGTACCTAAAGGTGTTTTGAAAACCCTCCCCAGGTCAATTCGTATAAGTAATTTCGAAGATTCAAGTATGTTGAAAGTAGAGTTTCGTGATTTGCCATTTATAATGGTTGGAGAAAACTAATCCTTGCTCTACATTAAGACGAGGCGGTGACGCTGCGTAGAGAAGCCTTGACATTTCGATTTCAAATGCCAGTTCAATGTTCATTTTCGAATACCTTCAACGATCCATGCAAATGACTTTGTAGAAGTGCCTCGACTTAAACTTGCAGTTTTTACTAACTGTCCGGGACAAACTAGATATATTCTTCGTTTGAAAATCATCCTGTATATGTGTTCATTGCGAAAACACACAAATAACTCTGGATATACACGTGTAGACAAACTTTGAAGCTTTGCGGGCTGTTACTGATTTCAGTGATTTCAATTTTACCTTTCTCAAAAACATCTAAAAATAACTTGTTTACCCTCTGAATGAACCTACGTGTTACGATTTGAAATGGGCACAGGAAAAGAGGCTTTTAAGGCGGGACAAAGTATAAAATGAAACACTCATACTACAACCTAGATACCTTATTCTGCTACATTTGGCGCTAAGAACACCCAAAAATTAACCATTTAAAGAGCACTGGAGGGTTAGAGAACAGTGAGTCACAAAAACTAGATTCAAATTTGTTGACGAGGATGCCAGCCTCAAAAACGATTAATTCCAAATTCTAATGACTTCAGTGAAATTAGTATCCAACTTCCTCAGGATTATTAGAAAGCATTTTGAGTTTACACCTGAAGATCGATTTTTTTTTTGGTCCCACGTTGGGTTCTCACTGTACTAAACAATTTGAGTTTTCTGCTCTCTAGAAGTCCTATCGCCGAGTCGCATGATGACCATTTTTTGTGTGCATATTCCGTCTTTTGTGCACCTATCACAGTTCTAAAATATTGCATTTTCGCATCATAACAGTATAAGCCATTTAACTCCTCAAATGTTATGTTCTTGGCATAGTTGCGCCTGTACAGATCTGGCAGGCAAATATTTATGACTGTTTGGCTTCCAACGGCTATCTCTAGATGAACCAGTTGTCTTAAACGTTGACATTTTAGGACTTACCATTAATTCATGTTTTCTCGCGGGAAATTGACGTGAGGTCCACCATCAATTTACTCACCATATCTTGGCTCACACATCTCCGTGACGTCTAGACAGAAGTCAACTGCTTCCGTCACGTCTGTCACTTGCTTTACACAATACACATATTCGTATGCGTGGCAAAATTGCCAAAATTGCGATTTGGCTCACATTCAAATGGTTCGGAGTTTGACTCTTAGAATTTCTCATTCTTATGGCCACTTGGGTTCCGGTCTTTGTCATGTCAAACAACTGCGCACACAGAGTGTGAGAATATCGTTTGTGCTGTTGCCAAATTATGCTTAAAAAATCCCTCCTCCTCATCATTCCCAGCTTCCAGCTCCTTCTCATGATTTAGTGAATCCTAAAATACAGCACTGTGTCCATCCAATGTGCAGTTTGAGTCAATTTCGTTATGAATAATTTCCAAGTGTGAGCGGCTTTCCCTCTTTTCCTTCGTCCCCTCCTTGTTCCTTCCTTCCTCTCTTTTTTCGAGTGAATAAGGGGCGAACCCCCCCCCCCCCCCNTTTACGCCCCCATGGATCCGCCTATGTATGAAGATTCCAAGGAATTCCAAAAAAAAAAATTCTAAAATTCTAAAATTTCCAAGGAAACGCCCAGATCCGGCGTTCAGCCTAACAACAAAACTGCAGAAGGAACAGTTGGAAAAATGTGGAAGAGCTTGGTGAGGAGATAGGAAGAGACATTTTTTATATTAGAATGTTCATTTGAAAAAAAAAAAAAAAAAACACATTTGATCTAGAGTCCAGACTCTTAAAAACATCGACAAGAAAAAGTACTGTTGATTCAATCAGAATCTAGCTAAAATCAAGAACGAAGCCTCTTAATTTAAACGGATTTCGTTTTGATTCAAGTCAAAATCCGTTTGAATCAAGAGTATTTTTTCTTGTCAATGTTTTCAAGAGTCTGGACTCTAGATCCAATGTGTTTTTTTTCCAGTGTTTGCTGCCTTATTCGGACCTAAGAACTTCATATTTCGACACGTTCACAAGCGTGCTCTCCGTGTGTAGGCACTCTGATCCAAACTTTGGAATGAGACCCCAAGTTTTTGTGCCTAAGCGTCTTTCCTTCTTTTTCCCCTCGTTCCTCCCTTTGTTCTTCCTTCTCCTTTTATTCCTCTTTGTTTCGGGCTACCCTACGCTTACACCCTCCCTCTTGGATCCGCCTATATCGACGGTGTAAGTCTGTAAGAAATGCCCACCTTGTTATACCTGAACCGGATAAACCTCTATATTTGCCTCATCTAAATGCTCTTAGATTTTTCCTGTGTACGATAAGTATCTTGATTTATTTTGCGAGGAAAGATCTGTACTTTTAAAGGTTGCCTGTCATCCTTAATACGTTCAATTTCGTATAATACAGTGCAACACCTCTTTTGTGAAATAGTAGCTTCAGGCGCCGCCGCACGGTGACGGGCGGCCAGGCGAAACGCGCATTAGCGCTTACAAACCTAAGTGGATACTTCAAGCATTGTGCAATGCGTGAAGTATCCACTTAGGTTTGTAGGCGCCAGTAAGCCTCTCGCGCTGGCAGCACACCGCTCCGCTCTGTTTGGCTCTAATATTTAAACTCGCAGAGTCAGCGTTTTTCAACTCATGATTTTGAAATGCTTGTACTCCCTGCATGAACTATTCTCATTTAAATTGATGAAAAAAAAGATACGTATTAAAGGAAAATATATTGTGTATTTTGTAAATATTAAGGTGGTTCCGTGTCAAATTTAATGATTCCCAAAGCACTTTAATTTTTTCTTTTACATGTTGTGCTTTTATTGTGCTGCAGCGAGGTGTACGCGCAACCAAACACTCAAAATTTGATGTATTTGACTCAAAAAGATCGATGAACAAATGGGTTAAAACTAAAGATTGCGTGCTTCTTGGTTTTTTTCCCTCTTATATTCATTTTTTGCAGTTTATGTCGGCACAACTGCGGCTCATTGAGATTAATGTCGCTTGGAAAAGGTTTTACAAATATTTGCCACGTTTTAAAAATATAAATGTTTTCAAAATGAAGTAATAATTTCGTAAAGAAAAAATTAAAAAAATAAAAAAAGCACCTATACATATATAAGGTATATTGTACCTCGAATATTTTAAGGATAGAAATAAAACCAAATATTCACCAACGACAATTTAAAAAGATGAATCAAAAGGAGAGAGTAATAACATTTCATTTAAAAAATGAGCAACCATAACAACACCTCCTTCTCTCTCAATTTCTCATTTCCATATTGTCAATATAATTTTACATACCGACTAAAATATAACCAGTGACCAAGTCACTGCCGCTTATTTTACGTGTGGGCGTAAACTACTGGACAAAACAGGTGCGAGGACAAAAAATCGTTGACAAAATGTCCTGAAACCCCGACTTACACCGTCGATATGTCAATCCTCCTCAAGAATCAGCCTGATGCAAATTCTGGATCAGCATTTTGACCAGTCGA